AGGGTGTAGGAAGTGGAAAAATGCAATTCTGAGCCGTCCATCTATTTATACGCAACCCAAATTTTCTCAGGAATCGAATGGAATACGTTTTAAGGCTCTATATCTCATAGTTTCCGAGATAATCGCGAAAAACGAAAGTGCCAAAAAAAATTAATTCAATTCATCTTGTATAGGGTGTAGGAAGTGGAAAAACGCAATTCTGAGCCGTCCATCTGCCTATACGGAACCGAAATTTTCTCAGGAATCGAATGGAATAGGTTTTAAGGCTCTATCTCTCATAGTTTCCGAGATAATCGCGAAAAACGAAAGTGCCAAAAAAAATTAATTTAATTCATCTTGTATAGGGTGTAGGAAGTGGAAAAACGCAATTCTGAGCCGTCCATCTGCCTATACGGAACCCAAATTTCCTCAGGAATCGAATGGAATAGGTTTTAAGGCTCTATCTCTCATAGTTTCCGAGATAATCGCGAAAAACGAAAGTGCCAAAAAAAATTAATTTAATTCATCTTGTATAGGGTGTAGGAAGTGGAAAAACGCAATTCTGAGCCGTCCATCTGCCTATACGGAACCCAAATTTCCTCAGGAATCGAATGGAATAGGTTTTAAGGCTCTATCTCTCATAGTTTCCGAGATAATCGCGAAAAACGAAAGTGCCAAAAAAAATTAATTTAATTCATCTTGTATAGGGTGTAGGAAGTGGAAAAACGCAATTCTGAGCCGTCCATCTGCCTATACGGAACCCAAATTTCCTCAGGAATCGAATGGAATAGGTTTTAAGGCTCTATCTCTCATAGTTTCCGAGATAATCGCGAAAAACGAAAGTGCCAAAAAAAATTAATTTAATTCATCTTGTATAGGGTGTAGGAAGTGGAAAAACGCAATTCTGAGCCGTCCATCTGCCTATACGGAACCCAAATTTCCTCAGGAATCGAATGGAATAGGTTTTAAGGCTCTATCTCTCATAGTTTCCGAGATAATCGCGAAAAACGAAAGTGCCAAAAAAAATTAATTTAATTCATCTTGTATAGGGTGTAGGAAGTGGAAAAACGCAATTCTGAGCCGTCCATCTGCCTATACGGAACCCAAATTTCCTCAGGAATCGAATGGAATAGGTTTTAAGGCTCTATCTCTCATAGTTTCCGAGATAATCGCGAAAAACGAAAGTGCCAAAAAAAATTAATTTAATTCATCTTGTATAGGGTGTAGGAAGTGGAAAAACGCAATTCTGAGCCGTCCATCTGCCTATACGGAACCCAAATTTCCTCAGGAATCGAATGGAATAGGTTTTAAGGCTCTATCTCTCATAGTTTCCGAGATAATCGCGAAAAACGAAAGTGCCAAAAAAAATTAATTTAATTCATCTTGTATAGGGTGTAGGAAGTGGAAAAACGCAATTCTGAGCCGTCCATCTGCCTATACGGAACCCAAATTTCCTCAGGAATCGAATGGAATAGGTTTTAAGGCTCTATCTCTCATAGTTTCCGAGATAATCGCGAAAAACGAAAGTGCCAAAAAAAATTAATTTAATTCATCTTGTATAGGGTGTAGGAAGTGGAAAAACGCAATTCTGAGCCGTCCATCTGCCTATACGGAACCCAAATTTCCTCAGGAATCGAATGGAATAGGTTTTAAGGCTCTATCTCTCATAGTTTCCGAGATAATCGCGAAAAACGAAAGTGCCAAAAAAAATTAATTTAATTCATCTTGTATAGGGTGTAGGAAGTGGAAAAACGCAATTCTGAGCCGTCCATCTGCCTATACGGAACCCAAATTTCCTCAGGAATCGAATGGAATAGGTTTTAAGGCTCTATCTCTCATAGTTTCCGAGATAATCGCGAAAAACGAAAGTGCCAAAAAAAATTAATTTAATTCATCTTGTATAGGGTGTAGGAAGTGGAAAAACGCAATTCTGAGCCGTCCATCTGCCTATACGGAACCCAAATTTCCTCAGGAATCGAATGGAATAGGTTTTAAGGCTCTATCTCTCATAGTTTCCGAGATAATCGCGAAAAACGAAAGTGCCAAAAAAAATTAATTTAATTCATCTTGTATAGGGTGTAGGAAGTGGAAAAACGCAATTCTGAGCCGTCCATCTGCCTATACGGAACCCAAATTTCCTCAGGAATCGAATGGAATAGGTTTTAAGGCTCTATCTCTCATAGTTTCCGAGATAATCGCGAAAAACGAAAGTGCCAAAAAAAATTAATTTAATTCATCTTGTATAGGGTGTAGGAAGTGGAAAAACGCAATTCTGAGCCGTCCATCTGCCTATACGGAACCCAAATTTCCTCAGGAATCGAATGGAATAGGTTTTAAGGCTCTATCTCTCATAGTTTCCGAGATAATCGCGAAAAACGAAAGTGCCAAAAAAAATTAATTTAATTCATCTTGTATAGGGTGTAGGAAGTGGAAAAACGCAATTCTGAGCCGTCCATCTGCCTATACGGAACCCAAATTTCCTCAGGAATCGAATGGAATAGGTTTTAAGGCTCTATCTCTCATAGTTTCCGAGATAATCGCGAAAAACGAAAGTGCCAAAAAAAATTAATTTAATTCATCTTGTATAGGGTGTAGGAAGTGGAAAAACGCAATTCTGAGCCGTCCATCTGCCTATACGGAACCCAAATTTCCTCAGGAATCGAATGGAATAGGTTTTAAGGCTCTATCTCTCATAGTTTCCGAGATAATCGCGAAAAACGAAAATGCCAAAAAAATTAATTCTATTCATCTTGTATAAGGCCTAGGGAGTGGAAAAACGCAATCCTGATGTATAAAAATACAATTGCGTGAAACACACAGGCGTATCAAAATGCAACTGCGTGAAACACACAGGCGTATCAAAATGCAACTGCCTGAATCACACAGGTGTATAAAAATACAACTGCGTGAAACACACAG